TGAGCATCTGGCTGACTGTGCGATGATCAATAATAATAATAATAATAATAATAATAATAATAATAATAATAATCCAGACTGAACATCTGGCTGACTGTGCAATGATCAATAATAATAATAATAATAATAATAATAATAATAATAATAATAATAATAATGTCAAAATTGAGAAGACAGCAATAGACAGTAAGTGCCGCCTATGCAAAGAAGCTGAAGAAACAGTGGACCACCTGCTAAGCTGTTGCAAGAAGATTGCACAGACTGACTACAAGCAGCGGCATGACAAAGTAGCAACAATGGTGCATTGGAGGATCTGCAAAAAATATCATTTGCCTGTAAGCAAAAACTGGTGGGATCATAAAATAGAGAAAGTCATAGAAAATTAAACTGCTCTGGGACTTCAGAATTCAAACAGACAAGCACCTGCAACATAACGCCCCAGACTTAACAATTGTCGATAAGAAAGACAAAAAAGTCTGGATAGTGGATGTGGCAGTGCCTGGAGATAGCAGAATAGAAGAGAAAGAACTGGAGAAGATAACACAATACAAAGACCTACAAATAGAAATAGAAAGACTGTGGCAAAAGCAAGCAAGGGTAGTACCAATAGTCATAGGCGCCTTGGGTGCAATCCCAAAACAACTGCAGCACCACTTGAACACCATTGGCATTAACAAATTCGCTATTAGTCAATTGCAAAAGGCGGCTTTACTAGGAACCGCTTCCATCCTGCGACGAGATCTGTAATACCATCAAACATCCACATCTGCCTATCCCAGGTCCTGGGTAAGGACTGGATAGGTAGACAAAATGCCAAATCCAGTCTGAACATCTGGCTGACTGTGCGATGATCCATAATAATAATATGGGTATAATAAGAGGCTTAAGATGGGAACCATCAAGAAAGACACGGAAGGCTTAATACTGGCTGCTCAAGAACAAGCACTACAAACTAAGGCCATGAAAGCAAAGATACAAATATCCATCGACAATCCAAATTGCCACCTTTGCAATGACAAAGTTGAAACTGTTTCACATCGAATCTCTGAGTGGAGCAAAATCACACACAAACTGACTACAATCATTCCAGGACTTATTTTCTGGTTGGGTCTTATATTTAGGGAAATACGGTACTCGACGCATCCGTCTGGCTGATCATCTTAAGTGGGGCTTAATTTTGGGGGTGGGGCTTATATTACGAGCATCCTGAAAAAAAAAAATCGCGCTAGTAGGACTAATTTTCCAATTGGGTCTTATTTTTGGAGAAATGGGTATTTTGCAGGTGCAGAAGAGAGTTACGTGGGAGACCCCCCCCCCGGATCCCATGCGGGTCTGCCTATCCTGTGAGAACCCACGGGAAGCCCGTCTTAGGTCTGCCCTGGCAGAAGTTGAGAGCGCAGAAGAGAAAAACAAATTTATTTCCAAATTTATTCCAATACGGAATATGCTGACCCCAGGAAACATATTCTGGGCCTTGGGCAGTGTTTCTCAACCTTGACAATTTTAAGGCATGTGGACTTCAACTCCCAGAATTCCACAGCCAGCAATGCTGGCTGTGGAATTCTGGGAGTTGAAGCCCACATGCCTTAAAATTGTCAAGGTTGAGAAACACTGGCCTTGGGTAACAGTTACAAACTGTTCTCGTTATACAGGCTGGGGGGGGCGTGGGGGTGGATATTGCGCCATTTTATTAAAGGGCGTGCTTTTAATTGTATTAATTAGGGCCTCTTTTACACTGTTGCGCAGTTGTGTATCGACAGCGTTGAACTTTAGAGCAGGAGGACCCTGTGAACAGCGAAAACAATGGAGGAATAATCATTGAAAAATCACAGCGTCTTTAAATATGAGACTAAAAGGTATTATCTAGCTGATGAGTAAATTTTAGATTATTATCAATAGTTTAATATGGTTGAATTTATATTAGTTTTAGTATCATGCTTTAATTATATTATTATTTTCGTTTTTAATTTGTTAATATTTATTATGAAAAGGAGTTAAAGTATGTCATGGATTGTTTGTATAGTTGGGTAATGTTAGTTGGATTATGATTGTTTATTTGTAACCCTGTAATCAGCTCTGGGAAGTGGGGGGGATGGGGGGGAGGGATTTGGAATATATATTGTATAAAATCTTTAAAACTTTGAATAAAAAAAGAAAGAAAAAGAAAAATCACGGCGTCTTACTTAAGACGCAAATCACAAGGCTCAAAGCTGCCCTACTTCGGATACAGGTCCTCGACTTACAACCATCTGTTTAGCGACCGTTCGAAGTTACAACGGCGCTGGGAAAAGGGACTGGCGGCGTTTTTCACAAGGACGGCCGTTGTGGCATCCACGTGGTCACGGGATCAAAATTCGGACGCTTGGCAACCGGCTTGTATTTACGAGGGGGGGCCGTGTCCCAGGTTAGGGGATCAGCTTTTGAGATGCAAAGTCAGTTGGGGGGGGGAGTCAAATTCAATGAACAGCCGTGTCCTAACAACTGCAGCGATTCACGTTAACAACTGGGGCGAGATAGGTCGTAAAGTGAGGCAAAACACACTTAAGAACTATCTTGTTTAGCAATGGAAGTTTTGGGGTCCGTTGTGCTCATACATCAAGGACTACCTGTATATAGGATGATCCAAGGCCTGGAGACTAAAACGGACGAAGAACGGCTGCGGGACTTGGGTCTGGCTAGTCTAAAGGAAAGAAGAAATAGGGGAGACATGACAGCAGCGTTCCAGTATCTGAGGCGCTGCCCCAAAGAAGAGGGAGTCAAGCTATTTTCCAAAGGCCCAGAGGACAGGACAAGAAACAACGGATGGAAACTAACCAAGGAGAGAAGCAACCTGGAATTAAGAAGAAACTTCCTAACAGTCAGAACAATTAACCAGTGGAACAGCTTGCCACCAGAAATCGTGGGCACTCCATCCCTGGAGGTTTTAAAGAAGAGGCTAGACAGTCACCTGTCTGAGAAGTTATAGGTTCTCCTGCTTCAGCAGAGGGCTGGACTAGAAGACCTCCAAGATCCCTTCCAGCTCTATTATTCTATCATTCTATAATCCCAGATCAATTAACCAGTGGAACAGCTTGCCACCAGAAATCATAGGCGCTCCATCCCTGGAGCTTTTTAAGAAGAGGCTGGACAGCTACTGGTCTGAGATGGTATAGGGCAGTGGTTCTCAACCTGTGGGTCGGGACCCCATTTGGGGTCGAACGACCATTTCACGGGGGTAGCCAAACAACGCAGTCCACCATTTTTTCCCCCTTTTCCTTAGCTGTGCTACTCCCTTTTATTCTATTGGCTTTTGAAAGCCAATAGAATAGACTCTCTTGAATAGAGTCTAATTCTATTGGCTTTCAAAAGCCAATAGGAATTGTCCAGGCTGTCTCTCCCCTGCTGAGCCCGCCAAAAGTCCCATTCTGCAAATGGGGCTGCACCAGTTGAGTAGTCCTCGACTTACGACCGGTTGGGGGTCGCGGCATTAAAAAGGTTGAGAACCACTGGTATAGATTCTCCTGCTTGAGCAGGGGGCTGGACTAGAAGACCTCCAGGGTCCCTTCCAGCTCTATTCTGATGTATAGCAAAGGTGCTCTCCAGCTTTCTGCTTGCGAAGAAGCCTGTGACCTTAAGGGGCTATTCTGCAGAGTCTCCCACCAGGGTTTGAAGGTCAACCAACAGGGCTTGTCCCAGCAACAGAAGGAAGCAGAGGGAGCTGGCTCCTTTAAAAATAACTGGCATGTTTTTAACAGGTGGCTAACCAGACATGGGGAAGGGCTGGAATGCAGCCCAGGATAGGGAGGGAGGGAGGGAGGCAGAAGGCTAGGTGATGTGATTCAGACACAGTTGGAAGGGAAAAAGTTGGAAGGGGGATGCACAAAGGGATGGGATGAAGTCTGCAAAAGGGCAAAAAAAAATATAAGGTGGTAATAATAATAATAATAATGTAGACAAAAATGCCAAATCCAGTCTGAACATCTGGCTGACTATCTGATGAATAATAATAACAATAATAATGAGTTGGAAGGGACCTTGGAGGTCATCTAGTCCAGCCCCCTGCTCAGGCAGGAAACCCTAGTCCAATAGTTCTCAACCTGTGGGTCGGGACCCCATTTGGGGTCGAAGGACCATTTCACGGGGGTCGCCAAACAACGCAGTCCACCATTTTTTCCCCCTTTTCCTTAGCTGTGCTACTCCCTTTTATTCTATTGGCTTTTGAAAGCCAATAGAAGAGACTTTCTTGAACAGAATCTAATTCTATTGGCTTTCAAAAGCCAATAGGAATTGTTCAGGCTTTCTCTGCCCTGCTGAGCCCGCCAAAAGTCCCATTCTGCAAACGGTGCTGCACCAGTTGAGTAGTCCTCGACTTACGACCAGTTGGGGGTCGCGGCATTAAAAAGGTTGAGAACCACTGCCCTAGTCTATACCATTTCAGACAAAGGGCTGTCCAGTCTCTTCTTAAAAACCTCCAGTGTTGGAGCATTCACCGCTTCTGGAGGCAGGTGGTTCCACTGGATAATTGTCCTAACTGTCAGGAAATTTCTCCTTAGTTCCAGGTTGCTCTCTCCTTGATCAGTTTCCATCCGTTGCTTCTTGTCATGCCTTCAGGTGCTTTGGAGAATAGCTTGACTCCCTCTTCTTTGGGGCAGCCCCTGAGAGATTTGAATGCTGCTATCCTGTCCCCCCTCGTCATTCTCTTCATTAAACTAGACATACCCAATTCTCGCAACCGTTCCTTATATGTTTTAGCCTCCAGTCCTCTGATCATCTTTGTTGCTCTTCTTGGTACTCTTCCTAGAGTCTCAACATCTTTTTTACATCGTGGTGACCAAAACTGGATGCAGTATTCCAAGTGTGGCCTTACCAAGGCATTAATAATAATAATAATAATAATAAAGTTGGAAGGGACCTTGGAGGTCATCCAGTCCAACCCCCTGCTAAGGCAGGAAACCCTACACCATTTCAGACAAATGGTTGCCCAGTCTCTTCTTAAAAACTTCCAGTGTTGGAGTACCCACCACTTCTGGAGGCAAGTAGTTCCACTGGTTAATTGTCCTCACTGTCAGGAAGTTTCTCCTTAGTTCTAGGTTGCTTCTCTCCTGGATTAGTTTCCATCCGTTGCTTCTTGTCCTGCCTTCAGGCGCTTTGGAGAAGAGCTTTTGCGATTGGCTTGAGTGATCCAACAGAGGCCGTTCCTGTCCTGGAAAGGGTGTATAACACAGAGTTGAGCAAAAAAAAAAAAAAATATAAAATATAGTCAAGGATTTCTCAAAAATTCTTCCCTCGGGATCAAAACGTCTGAAGCAGACGGAGCTGTTCTTCATTTAAAATGCATCTCGCCATAAAATGACTAAGGATTAGGTTCAAACCATCTGTTTTGAAGATCTCACGCTCAATCTGGCCTTTTTTTAAAAAAAGAAAAAAAGAAATTATTTCACTTGCTGACTTAGGCAAGCGACGGCTTGTCAGAATTGTGTCTGGGCCTCTCGTATTTCCGAAGTGGGAATAGCAGTAAGTTATCTTCCAGATTGAAGATGATTAACAATGAAGCTTGGCATCCTCAGGATATATTTCAACGTCTACCTAGGTGAAAAAAATGCGCATTCTGGGTTTGGTCCACGCGACGGATTTGACCTCTGTGCTATTTGGACCTCTCCATGAAAATCACCAGGAATTTAGTGGCAACTCAGTTTAAAGTTTTAATCTTTAATTCCACTAATTTGCCCCTTGTCATTTTAACCCCCATTCCCTCCCTCCTTCTTTCTCTCAGCCCGTTCCCCCTCTTTCTCTGGTTTTCTCTGACTTTGTTTTTTTTTTAATAATTGTTTTAATCAAAACTTAATTTTTTTAAATAAATAATTCAAGGTGACGAACAGACTGAATACAACATCCTTCTCCTATTTTCCTCACAACAATCCTGTGAGAGAGTCTGCCCAAGGTCACCCAGTTAGTTCTCATGCCTAAGACAGGACTAGAATTCCCCAGTCTCCTGGTGATTGGCCCAAAGTCACCCAGCTTGGCTTCCATGCCTAAGGCGGGACTAGAACTCACCAGCTCCTGGTGATTGGCCCAAAGTCACCCAGCCGGCTTTCATGCCTAAGGCGGGACTAGAACTCACTGTCTCCTGGTGATTGGCCCAAAGTCACACAGCTGGCTTCCATGCCTAAGGCGGGAATAGAATTCCCCAGTCTCCTGGTGATTGGCCCAAAGTCACACAGTTGGTTTTCATGCCTAAGGCAGGACTAGAACTCACCGTCTCCTGGTGATTGGCTCAAAGTCATCCAACTGCCTTTTATGCCTAATCTGGGACTAAAACTCACTGTCTCCTAGTAATTGTCCCAGTCACCCAGCCACTTTCACATCTAAATCAGGACTAGAACTCACAATTTCCTGGTTTCTAGGCCCGCATCTTCATCACTACGCTCAAATGGCTCTCTTTTTACCTCTGTCTGCTTTTCTTCACAGAAAATTGGAAAAAAAAAGCTCTTTTACTGAACGCAAACTTTTGTTGTCTATCCAACTCTTTGTGGCTGGGGAAGACAAGGCAGAATCTTTTATAATGTAGGCTAACCCATAGCGCCCTCTGCTGAGAAGTAGCGGAAACATCATTTATTTCAACATGTCCTCACAACAGTGACCATTTTCACTGAAAAAAGGGACTTATCACCACTTTTCACACTTAACGACCGTTGCGACATCCCCAGGGTCACGTGATCAGACCCTTGGCAAGTAGTTTATATTTATGACGCGGTCGCGGTGTCCCGGGAAGAGGGGGTCACGCGATCCTCTTTTGCAACCTTCCGACAAGCCAATTTTAACGGGAGAAGCCAGGATTCTTTAACAACCGTGCTAACTAAGCTAACAATGGCAGCGATTCCCTTAACGGTGGCCAGAAAAGTCATAAAGTGGAGCGAAAGTCACTTAATAAAAGTTTGACTTAGTAGCCAAAATGCTCGGCTCGGTTGTGGCCGTAAATGGAGGACTGTAAGGTTTCCTGCCTGAGCAGGGGGTTGGACTAGATGACCACCAAAGTCCCTTCCAACATTATTATTATTATTATTATTATGGATCATTGCACAGTCAGCCAGATGTTCAGACTGGATTTGGCATTTTGTCTACCTATCGAGTCCTTGCCCAGGACCTGGGATAGGCAGATGTGGATGTTTGATGGTATTACAGATATCGTCACAGGATGGAAGCAGTTCCTAGTAAGGCTGCCTTTTGCAATTGACTAATGGTGAATTTGTCAATGCCAATGATGGTGTTGAAGTGGTGCTCCAGTTGTTCTGGGATTGCACCCAAGGAGCCTATGACTATTGGTACTACCCGTGCTTGCTTTTGCCACAGTCTTTCTATTTCTATTTGTAGGTCTTTGTATTTTGTGATCTCCTCCAGTTCTTTCTCGTCTATTCTGCTGTCTCCAGGCACTGCCACGTCCACCATCCAGACTTTTTTGTCTTTCTTATCGACAATGGTTAAGTCTGGGGTGTTATGTGGCAGGTGCTTGTCTGTTTGAATTCTGAAGTCCCAGAGCAGTTTAATTTTATCATTTTCTATGACTTTCTCTATTTTATGATCCCACCAGTTCTTGCTTGCAGGCAAATGATATTTCCTGCAGATCTTCCAATGCACCATTGTTGCTACTTTGTCATCCAAATTTATTTTTACACACACATCCACACCCTTAAAACCTTTATCCCCACCTACTTCAGAAAGGGTGGGGGGGGGGGGAGTCTGCCCCTTCTACATCCTTGGCCCAGAAGTTAAATATCTGAGGGATGAGTCTTGTGTCTGTGGGAATACTTATCCCTGGCCAAAAATGCACTCCTTCCTTCCAGTAACTGCCAGAGTAGATAAGAAACAGACCCTCTGCTTTCAGTTTTAGGCCTTTTTAATGGGAGACAGGTTGTCCTCAACTTACGACCACAACGGAGCCCCAGATTTCCCTGGTTATACAAGCCAGTCGTTAAGTGAGTTTGGACACCATTTTATGGCCTTTCACGACACAGCTGTTAGGCGAATTGCTGCAATTGTTAAGTTAGTAACATGGTTATTAAGTGAGTCTGCTTCCCCCCTTGATTTTGCATGTTTGAAGGTCGCAAAAGGGGATCACGTGATTCCCCCTGGGACGCCGCGACCGTCATAAATCAGAACCAGTTGGCCAGCGTCCAAATTTTGGTCACAGGGATGCTGCAGCGGTCGTACGTTTGAACAACAGTCGTAAGTCATTTTTTTTCCAGTGCCGTTGTAACTTCAAACGGTCACTAAAAGAATGGCCGTAACTCAAGGATTACTTGTCTAGGAAACATTGGGTATCCTAGTCACATTGGAGTAAACAAGCAAGCTACAGGTAATCCTCGACTTACAACAGTTCATTTAGTGACCGTTCAACGGGACCGAATATGCCGTTACGACCTTGTTGCAGTTACAACCTTTGCAGTATTCCCACGGTCACGTGATCAGAATTCGGACACTCGACAAACCACTCCTATTTATGACGGTTGCAGCGTCATATCTGACAAGCAAAGTTTATGAAGGACACTGCAACCGTCATCAATGTCGGTCAGTTGCTACGAATCTGAATTTTGATCACAGAATCCCGGGGAGGCGGCAAGTGTCGTAAGTGTGAAAAACGGTCGTAAGTCACTTTTTTCAGCGCCGTTGTAACTCTGAACGGTCCCTAAATGTGCTTTGTAAGTGGAGGACGACCTGGACCATCAGTGTTCGACTGACGACGATTTATTTTATGATCGTTGGAAGTTACAACAGCACTGGGAAAAAGTGACTTAGGACGGTTGGCCACTGGCACGTACTTATGACGGTTGCAGCATTCCCAGGGTCACGTGACCCCCCTCCCCCCTTTTCCCAACCTTCTGACAGACAAAAGTCCACCGGGGAAGCCAGATTTATTTAACAACCGGGTTACTACTCAAAGTGTTTTTTTTTTTTTTTTCCAAAAGGCAAGTGGGCTGCCTTTGTTTTTCCTTGAAGACGTTTCCCTTCCCGTCCAAAGCAGCTTCTTCAAGTTCTGCCTGGATGACGTCACTCCCCCGCCATTCGGTCAGAACCGAGGAAGCTTCTTGGATGAGAAGCGAGAGGTCTTCAAAAAAAAAACCAACCGGAAAGTCCAGTTGGCCTTTTGAAAAAAGCAGCTTTGGGAGCGCCACGAGCTGGAGGACGGAGAATCTCCACGGACAGCCGTGTTCTTAGGGACAACCTTCACAACTCAATCAGTGGGGAGCTGCGATCAATCCATCCATCCATCCATCCATCAATCAATCAGTGGCAACAAGGCGCCTGGCCCGAAAAGCCTCCATTGTTTGCGCTGCCCGGCTTCGCCCCGGAGGACGGCAGCCTCTCCTCCGCTCCCCCGACCCACCGTCGTTACCTTCTGGAGGCCAGAAAGGCCGCGCTTCCCCCTCCGGCAAAAACAGTGGCGGAGGTAGGCTTCGGGCCGGCGGGTAGGCCTCGCCGCGGGCGTCTCCTAGCAACGGGCCGGCGCCGCTGATTGGCTGCCCCCTCCGGGCCGCCATTTTTCAAACGGCCGCGCCGCCCTTCGGCCTCCTGGCCCGGCCGCGGCATGGAGGGCGCCCCGCTGGCCGCGAAGCCCCCGCTGCGGAGGAAGGGAAGGCGGCGAGGGCCGGAGAAGGAGCCCCGGGCGCGGCCCAGCCTGCCGGGCGAAGCGGCGCTGGAGGAGAGCCCCGGCGGGGCCCAGCGAGGGGGGGCGCCCGCCGCCTCGGCCTCCTCCGCCTCGTGTGGGCGGTAAGTGGGCCGGTTCAGCCGCTTCCCCTCCCCGGAGGAGAAGGGCGCCTCCGCTGGGGAGGCCGAAGGGAGGCTGTTGGGCCAGCTCCGCCCTTCCTTCCTTCCTTCCTTCCTTCCTTCCTTCCTTCCTTCCTTCCTTCCTTCCTTCCTTCCTTCCTTCCTTCCTTCCTCTTTTTCCTTCCTTCCTTCCTCTTTTTCCTTCCTTCCTTCCTTCCTTCCTTCCTCTTTTTCCTTCCTTCCTCCTTCCTTCCTTCCTTCCTTCCTTCCTTCCTTCCTTCCTTCCTTCCTTCCTTCCTTCCTTCCTTCCTTCCTTTTTCCCTTCCTTCCTTCCTTCCTCTTTTCCTTCCTTCCTTCCTTCCTTCCTTCCTTCCTTCTTCCTTCTTTCCTTCCTTCCTTCCTTCCTTCCTCTTTTTCCTTCCTTCCTTCCTCCTCCTTCCTTCCTTCCTTCCCTTCCTTCCTTCCTTCCTCCTTCCTTCCTTCCTTCCTCCTTCCTTCCTTCCTTCCTTCCCTTCCTCCTTCCTTCCTTCCTTCCTTCTTCCCTTCCTTCCTTCCTTCCTTCCTTTTCCTTCCTTCCTCTTTTCTTCCTTCCTTCCTTCCTTCCTTCCTTCCTTCCTTCCTTCCTTCCTTCCTTTTTTCCCTCCTTCCTTCCTTCCTTCCTCTTTTTCCCTTCCTTCCTTCCTTTCCTTCCTTTCCTTCCCTTCCTCTTTTCCTTCCTTCCTTCCTCTTTTTCCGTCCTCTTTTGCCTTCCTTCCTTCCTTCCTTCCTTCCTTCCTTCCTCTTTTTCCTACCTTCCTTCTCTTTTTCCTTCCTCTTTTTCCTTCCTTCCTTTCTTCCTTCCTTCCTTCCTTCCTTCCTTCCTTCCTTCCTTCCTCTTTTTCCTTCCTTCCTTCCTTCTCTTTTTCCTTCCTTCCTTCCTTCCTTCCTTCCTTCCTTCCTTCCTTCCTTCCTTCCTTCCTTCCTCTTTTTCCTTCCTTCCTTCCTTCCTTCCTTCCTTCCTTCCTTCCTTCCTTCCTTCCTTCGTAATAGTAGTAAAGTTGGAAGGGACCTTGGAGGTCTTCTAGTCCAACCCCTTGCTCAAGCAGGAAACCCTGTACCAGAAAACACCTTGCTTTTCCTTGCAGGTGGTAGGGATATAGGATGAGGCTTGTAAAGTTGTTTATGGAAGTGTTGTGTTTGGGAATGCCGGCTGTTTCTGCGTTTGTGCACTTTATTTTTTATTGCTTTATGGTTTTTGAGCTGCCCCGGGTTATGTTGCCTAAGATGGATGTCTACATCAATTGTATAAATAAAAATGAACCTGACAAACAAGCTGAATTACAAAATGAAAGGAGAGGCAGCATCGCATCTCTGAATTGAGACGAATTGGCTCTTGAAGGCCCCGGTGAACCTGGTTGAGAAATTGAGCAGTCTTGACATGTATGGCTTAGTCCTTGACTTACAACCACAGCTGAAACCCCCCCCCCCCAAATTATCTTGCTAAGCAAGATGGTCGTTAAGGGAGGTTCTGCCCCATTGGACGATCTTCCTTGCCACTGATGTGAAACGAATTCACTGCACTTATGTTAGTAACATGGTTAAGTGAATCAGCCTTCACCGTTGACTTTACTTGTCAGAAGGTCGCAAAAGGGGATCATGTGACCCCGGGACACTGCATAAACCATCATCCATACATGCCAGTTGCCAAGCATCCAAATTTGAATCGCGTGACCGAGAGCATGCTGCAAGAGTCATAAGCATGAAAAGTGACTTTTTTCAGTGCTGTTTTAACTTGGAATGGTCTGTTGAAGGAAAAGTCTTCAGCGTGGTTCAGTCCAAGCTGGGAATAAACAACATGGCGACTGCTTTAGAAAGAAGGTTGCAGTTTATTGAAGAGGAGAGCCAGGACAGGAAGATAGCTCTGGAAGAAAAAAGAGAGCGAGCACATGTAGGGAGTGGGTTTTTATACCCTCTGGAGCCTTTTGTTTGGAGTTGTTCCTGTGGCATGAACTTTGACCTGAGTCTGAGTGTGCCCTTTGGCATCTGTGGGTTAATCCTATTATTTCCTGTCTTAGAGTTTGAGTGGGGCATGTAAATTTTAGGGGTCTTTATCTTCTTAATCTTCTAGCTGGGGGCCTCCAAGCTTCTTGGATTATTTACATCTGCATTTCTACAGAGCTGGTTCACGCTTAGGGGAGGGAGACTTGGGGCTATTAAGAAAAAACTGGGCATGATTTTCTGCCTCTTCTAAGATTCTTTGAGGAAACATATTATTCTCCCTTTTAATATTTCCTTCTCTGGCTGGGTGACTTCCCACAGGTCACTAAATGGACTGTTGTAAGTTGGGGAATACCTGTAGGCTGTTTTGTTTGCATCGTAGCAAGACTGAGCAGAGCAACTATCACTTTGAACAGAGAAAAAGAATGCTCACTGTGAGAATAAGTTAAGAAGTTGGATGGGGAATCATGGAATCCAATTTACTGGAAGGGCAAAGCTTGACCTAAAGCAGGGGTCTTCAAACTTGGCCCTTTTAGGACTTGTGGACTGCAATTCCCAGAATTCCTCAGCCAGGCAAGCTGGCTGAGGAATACTGGGCGTTGAAGTCCACAACTTCAAACTTGGCCCTTTTAGGACTTGTGGACTTCAACTCCCAGAATTCCTCAGCCAGGCACGCTAGCTTAGGAATTCTGGGAGTTGAAGCCCACAACTTCAAACTTGGCCCTTTTAGGACCTGTGGACTTCAACTCCCAGAATTCCTCAGCCAGGCACGCTAGTTGAGGAATTCTGGGAGTTGAAGTCCACAAGTCATAAAAGGGCCAAGTTTGAAGACCCTGCCCTAAAGATTGGATTTAGCAGTTGGGCTTCTAAAACGGATTGTGGATTTAAAAGCGGATGTGAGTCAGCTGCCTGATGTAAATGCAAAAAAAAGTAAAAGCATCTGCCAACTTCAACTGCATTTTAAAACCACGGTTTCCAGATAACAGAAAAAGATCATTCCATTCTTTCCTGTCCAGGTCAGATGAATTTTGAGGATTAAAGCCAGCTAGGGAATGATTTTGGAATGTTTCAGAGAAGAGCAACACGATCCGGGAACTCACGATAAGTTCCTACCGAGAGAGTGTGAGATATATTTAATTTTCCGACAATTAAAAGCTACAGTGGAGTTTTTTGTGCATTCTACAGGCATCCTAAGAGTTGTCACACAGAAAAAGCTATGATCTGGTTTAAAATCTTCACAATATACAGGGTACCACTGTGCTTTATTTTGCAGCAAAGCGCATTTCAGATGAAGCTAATAGCTTCCTCATGATAAGAACAGTTTGATGGCGAAAACTAGGAAGACAGTAAGCTCTCTGTGCCTGAATGGATAGACAGATAGTCCTCCAGTTGCAACAGTGAGGGATTCTTCAAATGCATCCTGTTTTTTTTAGATAATTTATTAATTTTCCAATTTTACATTTAAGTATTTAAAAAGCAATGTGGTGACCGGGTTAATCAATAGTTCAATGACAAAATCTTTAGTGCAAATCTCAGGTTACAACATCAGATATTTCTTCTCTTTTTTCCTTAACATTTCCTGTCTCATATTCAAGCCAGTACAGTTCTAGTTGTAGCAACTCAATAAAAACATCATTATTACATTTATCAATAAATTTTTAGCTTACACATATCTTGATTACATTCAATCTTCGTAAACAATCCATATCCTGTTATTCATTTTTACCCAATTTTTAGTTTCTCATCAATATTCCAATTTAACCTTTATTTATAATTTTCAGGCTTTGGGTAACCAAGATTTACCTGTCTCAATTCATAACAAAGTATAATATCCAAAATACACAGTTTATCCATTTGAATGTAATCTTGTTCTATTTCCTAAAAGTTAGCCATTTCTCACCATATTAAATCATCTATTTAATAATACAGTACCCCATTTCATAAATCAAAACCATTGTGTATATTAACTGGGTTAATCAATACATCAAACATATTCATAATAATTAATTTTCTTTTTCCTTTTAGGTCTAATTTTTAAATATTAAACAGAAAAAAACCCTTATTTTCAACTAATTTCCAAGTATTTTAAATCTAATGACCAAAATGCATCCTGTTTCTTAGCCTGAATGTGGAGACAAACACCTGTGTCCATTTCCAGCCACCAGATGTCAGTAAAAGATGGGGATATTTCATTTTAAAATGCTGCACATCTGCTGCTTTAAAAAGCTGTAGCCTAGCCCTAGACCAGGGGTAGGCAACCTTGGCTCTTTTATGACTGGTGGACTTCAACTCCCAGAATTCCTGAGCCAGCATGGGGGAACTATGGCCCCTCATGACTCGTGGACTTCAACTCCCAGAATTCCTCAGCCAGCATGGGGGAACTATGGCCCCCTCATGACTCGTGGACTTCAACTCCCAGAATTCCTGAGCCAGACTGACTCAACTTGGAAACCTCTCCCTTTCCCCTCAGCATGGCTGGCTCAGGAATTCTGGGAGTTGAAGTCCTTGAGTCATAAAAGAGCCAAGGTTGCCTGCCCCTGGGCTAGATCATTCCTCCTGCTGCTTATCCAGCAAATTAAATGCCAGGCATGAATTGCAGAGAGGAATGACACTCCCCACCACACGGATGGTCCTTTCGGCTAGAATTAGATTCTGAGGCCCAAAGAGCAGAAACTGGATTAAAAAAAAAGCAATGGGCTGGAATGATGCAATAAAAAGATAACTACCTTTGTGTAAATAAATTGTGAGGGGAATTCCCTGGGGGACTCTGGGAGTTGAAGTCCTCAAGTCTTAAAGTGGCCGAGGTTGGATACTCCTCGTCTAGACTAGAGCAC